CTGCTTTTCTCTCATGTGCACACAGCCTCACTTGCATCCATTTTCACTTTCTGCCTTGTTTTCCACCTGATTCAACTCAGGCTTATCTGAGTTTTCTTTCCTGATGGTCTGATGCCTGGGACCTCCCAAGGGAACAGGCTGATGCCCAGGCCAGTCCTAGCAAGACAAAGAGAAACCATGTCCAAAAGAGACCTTCAGAGCGCTGAGGATGACGCTTTCTTCAGAACAGGGCCACAGCTTTTGGGTTCAAAGCCTTTCAAGGCCTGCTGTTCCTAAACGTTTGATACCCCCCACACACACACACACTGGAGTTAAGTGCTTTTAACCAGGATTGTTTCCGGTAATTCTCAAGGACAAGGCTGTCTCGTGATGGAACCTTTTATCTACATATGTGTACCAAAATCAAGCCTCTACCATTCTGAAATAAGAATCAGTATTGGGTTCTAGTCCGGGTTTTTTTTAACTCTGTACATGCATTTGTGCATGCGTGTAGGCATGTGTGTGTGTGTCTCTGTGTGTGTGTGAGTGTGTGTGTGTGTGTGTGTGTGTGTGTGTGTGTGTGTGTAAAATGCCTGTTGCTTGGTCGGTTTCTCATCTCTGACTTTGCCTTTTCCATTATTGTTTCGTTTTGAGGGCCTTTCTCCCTCTAATCATTCCTTCTCTCTCTCTCTCTTTCCTCCTGAGAAACTAATTCTGTTTTTCCCAGTTGTTTAAATCAATTCTCTCATCTTGACTTTTCTGCCAATTATTAGAAGCTATCCTGGCATGGTTACCTTCTCACGGTCCCGGGATCTCATGTTCCTCCTGCTTTCTCACTGTTTTATATCTAACCCCTCCCAGTCTACATGTCTCAAGCAGGCTTCTCTACTGAGAGTTGGGCTTATATCTCCACCTTTCTAGAATTTTCCATTTCTACATCCTAAAACTGCCTTATATTAAAGACATTTTGAAATAAGCCCATAATTTTCTTCCAAAACTTAGTTCTGTATCTTCTATTTTCCAGTTGTCCTATCTTAGCTAACAGACTCAGCATCATAGGATCGACCATCTCCTCTTTCCTCCTCATGCGTCAGTAACATCAAGGAAGCTGCTGCATCCTCTCCCGATGCCCTCTAGGCCACCCATCTGGTGCTCCCGCCTGGATTCCCTATTCTTGCTCCACAGGCTCCCTGAGAAGCATGACCAACCCTGACTGCTGGCCTCACTACTTAAATGGAGTCCTCCCCACGTGGGATTGGGAACTTGTTAAAAATGCAAAATCTCACATTCACCCCAGACACTTTACAGGATCAGAAACTGCATTCAGTAAGAGTCACAGGTGATTCATATGCACATAAAATTTGAGACAGACTGAATGAGAGGACATAATATTCAAATTTTTGTTACGGTTGCAGTAGTGATGCATTGGTGGGCAATCCAGGACCTCAGTCTTCTTAGAAAGTTGTCATTTTAAGGTTTTCTTTGAGTGCAAATTATTTTCATTCATTACATCAGCATAATTTTGCAAAGTGTACGGCTAAAATATGAAGCAAATGCCTACCCTATGTAAAAGCTGCATTATGCTAGGGTTTATTTTAAGCCTTTGAAATGTCATTCTTCCTCCCCCTTCCCTCTGCACTCTGGTGCAAACCTATACTCCTGTAACTTTGAAGGCTAGTCTTTACAACAGTGCTTGAAGATATCAGCACAGTTATAAATATAGCATACCGACTGCCCTTATGTGTTCGTGTCTCCAGAATGTTTTTCACAGACCATAGTGATGGATAAAGAACTCAGCAGGTATGATATGCTGTATTGTTGCCAAGTTAATATGGATGACCACCACCTCTACTATAAGCATACACTAGATGCTAATAACTACAACTCATTAAGTCATGGGTCCATGCTAAATTAGCACCATGCTAATCAATCTACTCACCTTCATAAGGTGAATAATGTCCCCATTTTATATATGAGGTAACTGAGTCTTTAAAAGGTGAATTAAATGGCCCAATTATTCCAATATCTCATAGGAGTGAAACCCAAATCAGACTAGTACCAAAACTCTTGTGCCTAACTGGTGGGCAACACTGCCTCTCTAACCCCTTATGAGGCTTCACATTAAGTGATCTGTTTTTTGCTGCCCCCCACCCAGGAAGTGTATGTTGGAAAAGAGACAATGTGCACTGTGGATGGCCTTCACTTCAACAGCACGTACAACGCTCGAGTCAAGGCCTTCAACAAAACAGGAGTCAGCCCATACAGCAAGACCCTGGTCCTGCAGACGTCCGAGGGTAAGGCCCTTCAGCAGTATCCCTCAGAGCGAGAGCTGCGAGGCATCTAACGTGGCTGGCCAGCCTGGAGGTAACCCCACCACTGCCCACATTCCTCGAGCCTTTCCATGACTTGCTCTGCATCCTGGCCCAGAGCCGCTCTTCCTCTCCTGCCTTTAGAGAGCCCATGGGATGTGGATGTGATCAAACCAAAGATTCCACATCGGCAGTTCAGTGGCTTGGGCCATCGGCCTCCTTTGATAACCCTCTAAGTCAGCTACATTTGAAGAAGCTGAAAATGAAGGCCTGAATGTGGCCCCGGTGTCTAACGCGAAGGTGTCTAGGCTCTAGAGCAGGCTCCCATTCTCCATCAATCCCATCTGTTGCCAGTTTTGCCCAGATGAATCTCAGTTTCTTTGTAGTGCTTTCTTGTTCCTGGGTTCTTTCCAGCTGTGGATTTGTATGACTGAACATGTTTCCAATGGGTGTGGGGTGCTAGAGCCATTCAGAGGAGGCCTGTAGGCCACCCCTGGCTTTTCCAGCTCGGACAGCTTCCATTTCCTACCTAAAGCCCAGGCCGCCAGCACCAAGACTGAGACTTCCTGTGGCCACTCAACAGGAAGAGACCAGCAACTCCGCATTACCTCGCCATGTGCATCTTTACCAGTCCCTCTAGTCCTGGTTAGGCTGCCTAAGGCCACCGGACAAGGGTGATCTCTAGAGGATGTTTGCTTCTTGGCTATACTGTAAATAGTTAGGCCATCAAAGATGTATTATCTGTCTCAAAAGAGAGGCTTTTGATGGTCAAGTATAACCTCTGAGGCTCTTAACATTTTCATTTTAAAAGCAATCACAACACATGAAAAGAAACCATGAGGAGGTATTTGTGGCTGGTGCCAAAGCAGGTTTAAGAACTTTGGGTGTCAGTTTAATCATAGAAGTCACCTCCCACCCCACTGGCATTTTCCATAACTTCCCTTCGCAGAACTAATTCTGTTGAATTTGTTCACAATGTTAGCTAAAAGAACTGTGGAGGTGTTTTCTGCCACTTCCCAGGAACCTCAGCATGTGCCAGTCACCCCTCAAATGGTTCACATGGTTAAAAACAAGCACAACTTTGAATCCCACAGCAAGGGTGAAAGGCCCCTTCCCTGTGAAAACAGTGCTTTGGGGGCGGTTGTAAGGCTCAGTGGTACTGTCTATCCAAAGAGAAGGATATGTTGATGGGAGAAGGCTGGCATGACCTATTCCCATTTGAATCACAGTGACATGATAGCTACAGCCTCCCCCAGAAGTATCATTTTAGCAACTTCTCTCTGGGATGACCTTTAAGTTTGAGAGCGGTTGCCTCTTTTCCCAAAATACCATGCTAAATACCGAAGGCCTCCAAGAGCTCTTCCTTTCCAGAAGCAATGCTGAAGGCCCTTTATGGTGCTGGCCCCATTTCCATGTGTGCACAAGGCCTTTTGATTGAAGAGAGATGTGCGTGCCGGCAGAGCAGAGAGAAGTCTGCAGCAGTGTTGCTAATATTTGTCATCAGAACTATAGGAAAACTTTCTATTCATAATACACTATGGAGATCACATTACTCTTGTGAAACAAGTTATTAGTATAGCAACCCAAGTACTTCTGTCTCTCATCCTACAGGAGAACGTAATTGCTTAGTTTCTTTTAATGTTCATAAAATTATGGTAAAATTACAGGATTTGGAATTGCTGTCCCTGGTACCACAGTCACAGAACTGGGGGTCATTTTTTAATCGAAACTAATGGAACAAGTTCTCTTCCAACAAAGAAATGTACTGTAGAAATTAATTCCTCTCTGAATTTTATATATTGTGTACAAATATAAGGTATGTATCTGAATACAAAGCAAACCCTATCATCATGTAGATATCAGTATTCTCTGTTACTGCACAGAAGTGATTTTCTCATGATGAAATAAAGTTCACACACATACTTTCTCCATAACTTTGGTTTGTTCTATTTGTTTCTCCCTTACTCTAATTCACTCAAATAGTGAGATAAGATTTAAAAGGCAAGAAAAAAGAGTGATTAGTTTTACTGATCAATCTACTCTCACAGAGAAAGCCTATTGAGTTAACTATATCTTTTCTGTTTTTTCAAACCCGTGAGAAAAATGTTGTTAGTAATTTGATACATTTGTTACACTTATAATTACTAATGTTACTTTGAAACATTTATTACACTTATAATTTACTAATGTTACTTCCTACAGTTCCTGGAAAGTGCTTTAGAGTTTTTGTTTTTTGTTTTTGCTGGTATCAAGAGGTGGGGTGGTTCATTTAAACTTTCTATAAGAATAAACCTCTTTCCAAAGTTCAAAACAAAATATCTATATTGCAGAAGGATCCAATTTCCTATGTGACAACAAACCTAACTTGTACATGCATTTAGTCCAAGGTTTAGACCACGTACCAATATCTACTCTGAACTGTCACAAAGCCTTCTACTGGTACCATTATACAGTGGAGACCAAATGTCTACAGTATTATGAATTCTGATAAAGTTTTTCCTCAAAATCCAATTCATCTGTCTGTCTGTCTGTCTGTCTTTTTATTTACTTGCTGGGCAGTGTTTGATAAGTACCCACTGTGCTGACCGTGGGTGTGAAATGTTGATGTTTTCAGGCTAGTAAGAGAAGCCCTGAAGAAATCAACACACAAACAGTAAATACATACTGTAATGAACATTATGAGAAAAAAAGACAAGGAAAATCAGTCGGGAAAGCAATGAAAAACCATTTAATTCAATGGAAATCATAGAGAATGTGTTATTATAAGGGAAGGAAGGAAAAGGGAAGGAAATACATATTATATGAGCTCGTTTGTTTAATTCCCCGAAGGCCAGTTCCTGGGAGAGATCTAAGGCAATCATGCAAATAAGGGCAGGTCCAGATGCAAACCAAATTATTCTAACTTAAGAAACAGAACTGTAAGCAGTTAATAATTTCAATGAAGTTTTAAAATAAAGTCCGTGAACTTGGTTTTGCATACATTTATAGTTATTCATTTAATAACCATTATGACTGTTTGACAGTCATCAAAACTTTCGGTAAAACAGTAGCTATTGAGAACATTATGTAACAAAGCTGCTTGATACACAGTGTCCGGGGCCTCATTCTGCATGACAGATGATATTCCTACCAAAAAACAAAGCAAAATGTTAGATAAGGCTGAGAACAGGGTAGGAGATGTTTTTCCCCTAGTTTCTCTCTGCTCATCTAAACAGGCTATGCTTTTTAAAAAAAAACTAGAGAGACAAGAAATAGAGAAAAGTTAATATTTCTGGGCTTGAATATCATGGGGCTGCACTCCACTCAGTCCTTCCAAGCCAGCTGACACTTCTGGCCACGTGGTGGGGAAGTCGCCTTTTGACTGTCCTCAGCTGTCCTGTAGGAGAGGAAACACACAGGGTTGCAACCTCTGTGCAAAGATATTCCTAACACCAGTCTGGTGTGGAGAGATTGTTTGCTTTGAGCAGATTTTTGGAAGTGGAATTATTGCACCAGAGAATCTAAACTTTACGGTGGCCCTTTATCTGTGTTTGCAAATTGCTTTCCCGGAAGATTGTACCTCAGGAACATGCAAACGACTCCACTGTAGTATATCACTGTAATTCTGCTATGTAGGGCCTAATTTTGACTACCAGGCACACTGCTAAAAGTAAAAAATATTTCTAAAGTTTTTCACTTTGTAGTTTCATAGATGTAATATTATGTGAGGTAAGTTACAGTATTTTGCAGGAGAAATTCACATGCTCTGAAGGGAAAGGCAGGCTCACAGAGAAGGAAGCACAGGGGAGAACAGGGGAGAGTGAGAGAGGGAGAGAGTGAGATAGATCTAAACAAAAGAATGTCTGCATGCAAAGCAGGAAACAATCTGGGCTGTCACCGAAAAGGAACCTTATCATTCAAAAGCTTGAGTTCAGCCCTTCAACTCTATGGGTGACTGAGTTAGCCCTGGGCTCACAGCGGCATGTCCAGTGCAGTATCTACCCAGAACTCAGGGGCTTCACTGCCTCTCTCCCAGCCTTCACGGCACCTTGCTCAGATCACCTCAAAAGTATGGCATTGCTTACCTCTCTGGACTAAGATACCCATTCTGTAATCTCCATTGCCGTCTTATAACTGCAAAGAATAATGGTCCCTGATTGGGAAAACAGGAAAAAAAAAAGTCCACGTCAGACTCCTTTATTCAAAATTTATGCAGAAACCCGATAAGCTCTCTGACTCACTTCCTAAGACCAAAACTGAAAGTACCAAGTTAGAGGAGAAGCGAGGGATTGCTAGAGAAGTTAACAGGCTGTCGACAGCACTGAGAAAGGGTGGTAACGGGAAGAACTGAGAAAAGGGCCCCAAGAAACAAAAGAGAGCATTCTGTGGCAAATGTCCTGACTCAGGAAATCAGAAAGTATCCAATAAATTTTGGAAAGAAAGTCAATATGTCTCTGGAACCCTGGGTAATGGGGCATAGCATGTGTGTCCCAAGGCTCTGTGGAATCACAGCATGAAATAAGCCTTACCCCTTTCCCCCCAAAAAACCCACTTTATTTTGTGTCCAGCTATTGAGAACTTTCTCCATGGCCCATCAACAGAGTCTGAAGGATGACAGCAACACGAGAGCCAGCAAACATTTTCAAGATACTGACATACATACAGTGGAGGAATTGGGTAAAACTTATCCATCCCATGTTTTACAATGAGGTCCTACAGAGAAAAATGCATATTTATCTACCTACCCTTAGGCAGTTAGATAGACCACCGACCTCACTTCTGTACCCTCTGCTGATGTCTGAACCCCTCCGTCACTCTTGCCGCAATGTTCTAAATCTACCCTGTGTATTAGTCTTTTCCTGCTGCTCACTCTGGTTTAAAACAACACAAATATGCCATCTTAGTAGCAGTCAGAATCCTACCAGCTCAAAGGGAGGTGCCAGCAGGATTGTGTTCTTCAAGGACTTCCGGGGCAGTGTTGGTTATCTTGCCTTCCCCAGCTCCTAGAAGCTGCCTGTGTTTCAAGGCTCCTGGCCTGTTTCTGTGCTAGGAGCCAGCAGCATAGCGTCTGCCAGTCTCTTCCTGACCCCTACCCTCGTGCCTTCCTTACCAAAAGGCTCTGTGGTTACACCAACCCATCTGTAGAGTTCAGAATAGCCTTCTTCTCGCAAGATACTTGATGCTTAATTCAGGCACATCTGCAAAGTCCCTTTTGCTATAAAAGGTAACAAATTCAGAGGTTTCTAGGAATTAGGACATATTTTTGACTGAGCAATTATTCTACCTACCACACCCCCTGAAAAAGATATATTACTATTACTATTATTGTTATTATTTTCCTACTATGCATGTAGGGAAACTGAGCCTGCAAAGTTAAAAGCCTCTGAGACCCAGTTCTTTTAGCCCCAACACCCTGCATAGCTCAGTTTGGAGATGATGTGTGAAAAGTGCTGTTTACATTTAATCAAAAGGAAAGAGAGGGAAAACTACCCTAAGTCTGTCTGCTAGGTGTCTAAAAACATACTGTCAAGGTGAAGCAGCACTGTGTAAGCTGCCTTTTGTGTTCATCCAGAAAGCCAGAAATAGGACTTTAATACATTCAAAGAGGCAAGTTAGACTTCTGTCACAAAGAGTAACCTTCCCGCTGTAAGAAGATGTGGAAGGAGCTGTCATTTTCAGCATGATATCCAAGCCCCTCTTCAGTTGTGTGCCTGTTTCCATGCGTGCATGCTTCCCCCACAGCCCTAGCAGCTCAGGAGGGGGGCCCTCTTACCCAGGATACAAGGATCTCTTGGTGGGCTGTAAGGGTTGACCACATAGAAAAGAAAGAACAATAATGTCAGGGCCAGTTCTCTGAGGCCCTTGAAAGCTACCCCACCCAGTGAGATCTGGGTCTTGGGACCAGGCTTAGGTTAAAAACGCAAAGCTATCTGTTCACAGAAGCCTTCCGGTCTTCCAGAGCTCAACTGGCGGAAAAGTGGAGAGAAGAAAACAGTAGATCAGGATTTAGATACTGCTATAAACTCCTGCACTAACCAGCAAGTACACACCCAGGGCATTGAAGAAAAGGATGTTCTCAAGCATCCTCAGTTGAATGTTCAGAGTAGCCATCTACCCAACATCTTTAGGCTTCCTAATAGGCATAAATAGGTTGGGATTCTGGAGAGTACGTCTTTAAAATTATTTCTAAAAAGTGGGAAGTGTTATTCATGAAGAATAAAAGTCTACTTCCCTGCTTAGATCTCAGCATCACCTTGCCCCTCCATGTCCTACTTCCTTTTCCCACACATCAAAGGAAACCACCCAGAAAGTACTCAGTGGGTATCGGCACAGTAGAGACTTCTGCTTCCATTTGTCTGAATGCCAGATGGCCTAAGATGTGTCTGTCCTGAATCTCTTGACAGATATCATTTGATAGTGATTTTGGTCTAGCTTAAGTTAAGTATTTTGCTTTTAAAGCTTGATGTACTGAGACACCCTGCCCCTCAGAAAGCTGTAACCCTATTTGGGAAAAAGAACCTTTCAGGAGAACAACGTCAGAAAACCCCTCAGCCCACCTACCATCTGTGGCCAGAAATCCAAAGGGGAGTGATGATGCATCTGCCTTGCAGTCCACTGAATAACTCTGTTTGGGAAAGAGATGATTCATTTTTATATAGCTGAGAGTTTACAGTCAATAGGAGGACATCTAAACAAATGTGTCTCATGACCCATGGCATAAACTGTACCTTTTGCATACTTCCAAGTCACAAAAGAGCAATAGCTTTGTTATCCCCCAAATTTTATCCTTCAGGATTAGTCCTGTCCAAGTCTGCATCCCACCCTCCAGCCCCCACCCCCTATAGCGGTTGTCATTGTGGCTTGGATGCATCCCTTCACCTCTTCGGACCACAAAACTATAGACTTAGAGCAGATGACCTCTACATTCTTTATAATCGGTACCTACAGCTTCTCTCTACACCACCACTATGGACAGCTGTTAACTATTTCAGAGAACACCATGGAGAGGCATTAGATACTGCCCACCTCCTTCAAGAGTCAAATTCAACACTAACAGAAAGTAGCGGATAAAGGATCACGTAAGGAAAAGCATATGATCCACTCAAAATATCTTCTCCCTACTCTTTCTTCTCTTTGCTCTTCTTAACCCACAGTGTCTGGGCCTCTCTAAAAATAATTTAGTTCAAAGAACATGCATTTCCAGGACAAAATCTTCAAGGTAGGTAAAGCATACCTGATCAAATTTGAATAAATTTTATAATCCCAAAATTAGAGGCATGATGACAGGTTTCAGAGCCCAGAAGGAGAAATACTCTGTCCCTTTTCATTTTGACAACACACAAGGTATCCTATGAAGTTTCCTAAATATTTCCATAGGACCATATTGGATCCAGAACCCATTTGTGGTTGTGGGGAGCATGCTGTACCGCTGCCAATCCAAGCAGCGTTTAGTCCTTTGAAATTTTCTTTAACCAAACTGTAGGAATTTTCAGTTCTTCCGTGATAGTTCCTTCTAAGCAATGTCATGGCATTTTAAATCGGACTGGAGGATTTACCAGGGAAGTATTCAGCTGTTCTCTGGGTGGCAAGGGCTGTTTTGTTCTTGTAAAAGGAGGTTTTCAAAAGAATTTGTTTCTCACTTCTCAGCTGTAATTAATGCCACATTTAAGGAAGCTTAAAATACCACCTTTTGTTATAAATTATGTACCAGCTGGACAGAATTGTGACTTTGGTTGCTTATTAGATCATTTTTAAAAATTCAGCCTCCTTCTTCATTTGTTACTTTATGTCTTTTAAAAACCTTCTCAATAAAAGCAAATTCTTTCTGCAGCAGGTTTATAATGAACTGAAACTCATCCTTATACTGCTTTTGGAATTCTTAGTGACAGCTCTTGCTTTACCGCACTCTGAAATGCAACCCTCTTGTTGGAGCAGGGCCCAAGGGCTGCCCAGTTATGAAACCGTTCCCTGCCAGACAGGAAGACACACAGGCCTTCAACCAGGACGCAGAGGAAGGTGGGTTAGTGTCCCGTGTCATAGAAACCTCTGTAAGTTTGCTTTTCCTCTTTAAGCCCCCAAAACAACACCTCATAGATTGTACTTTACATTTTTAAATTATTTTACAACATTTAGAGAAATCTTTAGTACTCTGCATGTACTGGATGTACTGCATCCAGTATGTACTGGAACTGGTCAAGAAATGCTACCTTTAGCTATACAAAAAACAATAATAAATGTCACAGATTTTCTCCAACTTATTTTTCCCCTCACTGGCCTGCTGTTCTGCCAACTTCATTAGTTTCCAGCTACTCAGTTCTAACACAGCATCTAATAGACATGATACACATCCAGTTAGTGACAACTAATGAACAAATAACAGAAATAACAAATAACAGTGTACCAAACAGAGATACCACCTAGATAGACTTTCTCCCTCCTGAACCCCTCACTTTCACTTTGGTAATTTTTGGCCACTTTCAGAGGCCCCGTCTTTAACTATAGTCCTACTCCTAAATCCAGCTAAATGCAGGTCAAAAGGGAAAGAAGAAACCTAGAAAAAGCAAGAGGAAAATGACGGTCATTGGCAGAGCTGACACATTTGTGTCCTGGACACAGCCCCTGCCTCTGGCTTACAGATGTGCACAGAGTCTCCCCGTACAGCTCTGATATATCATTTTCCATTGTTCTTCCCACTAAACGTTAGCAACTCTTCACCCAGACAGGAGCACTGTGTGTCATGACACATGGTGAGATATTAGCAATCTCTTATAGAGCTCCTTATCTTTCTCCGATAATCTATATGTTTAAAATGAATCACCATCATAGGTATCAACTACAGACTAAGACACAGCTCCCTAGCATGTATTCTGGAAGCAACATCATTCCCCTCGAAGTGACTAATGAATTTGAATGTCCGAGAAGCTTTTCCCATGTCTCAGTAGTTGTTTTTTTGAAGGGGAGGGCGTAGCGTAGCGTACACACTCACATAGGTGTGTGTGTGTTCAGTGGGAGTAAAGTGTGATTTGGGTAAATCAGGGAGTAGAAATAGTTTTCAATATTGTCATATTGCCTTTGATTCATTTGAAGTTCTTACATAGAAAAATGATTGGAAATAAACTCCACATAGAAAAGGGAAGACTTAAGGAGGATTGGTGACTGACCTCAGATACTTGAAGAACTAGCGATCTCTTCCATGTGGCCCCAGACAGAAATGCTACAGTTGGTGAGTGGAGCTCCCAAAGGGGTAAATCCCACTAATACCAGCAATAACTACAGACGAAAAGCAGTGGCTGGAGGCGATTAGTTCCTCGTTCCAGGAGACAGCAAGGGAGGCTTGATGGTTCCTCCTCAGTTGTTATTGATATAAATGTCCTCCCTCTGTATGCCTGCAATTTAAAGGCATCTAAAAAGGCCTAGATGACCTGGAAGCAATTGACTGAACACTTGTAAGCGTCCACAGGAAGGGGAAGGGAGACTCGCCCAGCTACTTTGGCTGTAATCAAGGTGCAAATGTTCTCATTCATTTAAAGAATTTTCATGATTTAGGCAGTTTTTTAAAAAAATAGGAGCTGCTTAGAGAAAACAGGGTAGAAGCCAGGTGAGAAATGGGAAATTGTAAGTGGGGCAAAAAACTATAAAAACAAAAGAGGAGTGGTTGAGTAATACGGATATTAACCATTTGCCTGAGTAGGTGGCATAGTTCAAGAATAAGAGGAGTCAAGGAAAATTGAGTCATCAGTAAACAAAGGATCCATGTAAAAGCTTAGGAAACACAGCAGTCATTCCAGTGTCATTATTAATTCCAGTAACAGTTGTAGCTACCTGCCTGCCCCCCCCATACAAAGTGATGCCGTCACCCCCTCCACGTTCTTCCTGTTGCTGAGACTAGAAAAGGTGAGTACAGTTTATGATGAGAAGAGACACGAGATCATTGTGTGGAGATTCAGTATGCTCTCACCCTTTACATCGTCTCCCTTAATTTTTAAAGCAACAAGTGTTTTCAGTATAATTAACTGATTGTCCTAACTGGTGACAATATCTTTCAATCAAGTCCTTATTAATAAAAATCTCCCATTGACATAAATATAGATGTAAATGCCTTCCCTCCCTAAAAGAAGCCCACGTCTGTTAGTGGTACTGTGTCATTATATTTCAAATTTCCCATTAAACAGAAGACTGATTTCCCCTTAAATTGATTATAATATAAATCATTTTTAATTGACCATAACCGAACTGAGAATTGATCATGTATGTCAAGTCTCCAAACTATATGAAGTGTAGGTAGAAATTTTCACTGCACTGTTATTTAAGAACATAAAAATGTACCTCTATAAATAGCGATTGCCATTTTCTGTGATCTGATTTATACTTCGATAGAAATATCTTCCCCCATGATGAGCCTGAAGTCAGACGCTAACTTATTGTAAACTCAGAAATGAAAGTGGGGCTCCCTTTGGCAATATTAAATCTTACTGAGATCTTCAAATAGGATCACATTTTGCACACACACACACACACACACACTCCCATTACTTTTACTTGAACATGCACAGAGTAGCATCTTGCAACCAAGAGCTGCTAGCAGACTCCAGTCAGAAAATACCCACAGTAACACCTCCTGGTCACCAAGAAAAAAAAATTTTTTTTTTGATGAGAAGAAATTTTCTTGGGGTTTTGGATATGAAAAGTCACCTTCTGTAATCCGTCATCTGTGAAGTCTTAAATTAAGAGGGCACCAATTGATAAAAACCCACCTCTAAGCAGATTACACC